TATTAGCATTTGTTGCAGATTTCTTATGAATCTTGATCATTGTATCTGATTCAAATTTTAGAGTAATATCACATAAGTTATCTTCTAGTAGATGAGGTCATGCATGCAGAGCCTTTTCCAGCATTAACTATCAGCAATTATAGCCATCTTGATGAAAACAATGCTCTCATTATCATTGTAATTGATGAAGCCTGCTTTGATTCAACAAAAGTATCAAATCATGACAGTTTCTAGTACTATAGGAATAAAGGAAGTATCTAAGAGTGTAGTTGTCTGGACTTTCAGTACAAAGTTATTGCTCTCTGCATTTGTTGAAGGATTGGCGAATCAGCAGCTTGACAACAGACTAAATAACATGGGAAGTGCCGGATTTTCTCTGGGGTTTGGAATGCAGGGTTGTTCAGTTCAATGTAATGCATGTCAGGTAACGTAGGATGCACATGTCCCTGCAACAAGAGACGCTAACCTACTAGGATGTGTGTGGGAGCTGTCTTGCTCGCCTTGCAGGATTGGCAAGCCATACATACTGCGTACGCCTGGTAGAGCTGCCTCATGTTAGGCTTGTCTAGCTGATCTCCTATTTGCTTTTCCAGCTGATCTGGTCTTCACATGATGACTACTTTTTTTTAATTTCACCGGTATCAACTCCGAAAAAAAGAAAGGGAGAAAGAAAGAAAAAGAGAAAAAAAGAGGGTAGGTCTTCAAATAATAACAACTTGAGAAATGTCATCATTGACCCTGAACCAATGTATGTATATCCTTGATTACACTGTATCTATAGATTAGACCGCTAGCAACCTTAGGAGGAATGGGGTATTAGAAGTTTCGCATTGTGCAGCACAACTGCCTGATCTTAGCCTTCACTCCCTCCATATCTGCTTGGCTGCCTGTTATGCGGTTCATTCTAATGGGCTTGGAATCTTGTGTTGGGTGCTAGTACCTGATTGGATCGGATGCGATATCCGTTCATATTTTTTTTTTATATTTCGCTTCTGACCGCATATATGTATGGCTTGGTCCCCTTTTCAAGATAGGGAAGGGTGCAGGTGCTCAGATAGCTTCATTCCAGCTGGCTGCTTGACTTCCCCTCGTGATTGTCGTCGCCGATTTGGGAAACAGAACTGCGGAAAGTGGAATTCGATAAAGCAGTGTAAAAGGAGTGCATGTATGTACATAGTAATGCACATGAACGTCTTACAGCGTAAGGCCTACGTTTAGAGCGGTTGAACGCGCTGAAGGATTCCAAATATATTTCTTGGTAGTATCTAGAATGATGGGATCATTTAAAGGTAGTCTCATGCGCACAACTTAAGCAGGAATAAGAATATCACTCTATGAAACGATATATATTTTCCTCAATTCGAAATTAACCGCGAGTTTATTCGTAACTAGACCTTCGAAATATGAATGGTCCAGAGGTGCAATCGTTTAATATTACCGTTTTCCTCAGCCCTCCTCGTCCTTACCTGGCGTACGGCGGTATATAACCAGCGGCGTCCCAGCGAGCTCCGCTTTAATCTGCAAAGACACGAATCGAGAAAAGAAACGACTATGTCCAAAAGGGCCACCCATATACCATAATCCCGGGTCTTTAAGAGAGAGATATTAATCATATTGTTCGAAAAGGATCGATAATTGCAACGCTGAAACTTACGGCCAATTGGTTTCCATGCTCCTCGTACCTCCCCTTCCTCATCAAGACCCCAAAACTCCTCAACCCGGGCCGCGATGTCGGCGCCTAGAATCCTAGCAACGGTGGGACGGAAAGACATTTCAAAACCTGTTGCCAGGATGATGATGTCGGCTTCCAGCTCAGAGCCATCATCAAACATGAGGCCATCTTTACTGTAGCTGGAAATCGCAGTGCCAGATTTCACTTTGATCTGAAATAGTGAAGGGCGATTAGCTCACCTGAACGATCACCATCACCCTGCTGCGTTGGTTGGAGAAATGGATATTTGATTGCCATTTTTAGGAAATAGAACGTACCAGACCCTGGGCAACCTTTGCTGATGTTCCTACATCAATATAATGTCTGCTCTCTGTTAGTTATTGCTAAAGTATAAGTGCACGTTTGGCTTGAAAAGTATAAAAATTGTCAATATATTACCGGCCGCCCTCTTCGTACAGAGTGGATATTGGACTACCGCATCTTTTCACTCTGAATCCCACACGCTCTAGAGCGTCGAGCTGCTCGGTATTCTGGCTCACCATGGCATGGAAACGGGCCATGACCATTTTGTTGACGATTGAAAGCGGAGTCGTATATTCAATCCGGTCGGCTAGGTCGGTGGGAAATGTGTCATTGTATCTCGCTTGCGGCTCATCAGTCCTTATCAACATCTCATACATTGCATCACAATGAAGTAACTTACTCTTGGCTCCTGTTTGTGTTACGCCCAAGTAATAAGCATGATATTTCGAAGCAGTATGATTGGGGGTTGAACATCTTTACCTTGTTGGTAGTATTCAAAAGGTAAAACGTCTAATAGCCACAAAGAAATATCCTCAGTATAGAGTCTTTAGCTACAAGAATTTGCCTAGAGAACTAGAAAAATAATAACTCACATGTTTGTCCCCTCTGTATCATCGTGACGGAGGAGAGGCCCGCTTCAACCATATCAGCACATATATCATGAGCTATTTAGACGAGGTTAGATATTGCTTTAGGTCTTCAACCAGTGTAATCTCTCACCAGTATTTGCAGAGCCAACAACCTAGTGGAGAATTAATATTAACTGCCTCAAGGTGCGCGAAATGGGATGTCATACCACTGCCGACTTCCCCTTCCATTGAGACGCAGATCTATAATCAACGGAATGGAGAACCAAGCCTCCAAACTTTTCCTAGTTAAAATTTCAGCAGAGAGATCATTACTTTGACCGGTATGACAATCGTTCAAGGAAAAGAGAGTGCTAATATTGCATACCCTTTCAGGAAATGTGGGTGCCACTGGAGTTTGACCCCCGGCTCCAGTCGCAAGGACGAGGTGACGGACTACGACGCATGTTTCCCCATCTTTACGACGAATTATCAGATTCCATCTCTTCCCGTCTTTGTCCCAGGAACCAGACGTCAATTGTGACGAGAGCCAGACATTCTATCATTCCCTTGGCTTAGTTAACCTAATAATTATACTGAGGGAAGATTGAGAGCTTGTGGGAGGCTCACAATGCCGAGCATGTCAGACCATAATTTATAGCGCTTCGCAAGATCGTATTTGGACAGGAGCTCTGGATAGGACTCGGGAAACGTCCGCTCGAATGGGAGGTGCGCTGTAATGTTAGAGGTTTAGCTATCAATATTGCGCTGCGTGGAAGGTGTATTGCTTACCATATGCTCTGAGTGTGTGTAACTTCATTGAGTCGTATCTCAAAAGCCAGTTATCCCCTATGTTATCGTTCTTGTCAATGAGAAGATAGTTAACCCCCAGTGACTGTAACCGCCCCGCAGTGGATAATCCACACTGGCCAGCACCAACTACCAGACAGTCAAACTGATTGGCCTCCGGGTTAATGATCCTTGCCTGCGGACTCGGTGTATCAACATCAAGATGCCCTTTAAGCCTCTCCAGGATGGTTCTCAGAATCCATATCTTCCACCCGCCTTCCCCGTCAGGTACAAGGGAGACCATGCCGGAGCAAAAGGAAGCTGGGCAACCTCTTGTCTGGAAAGTAAATCTGGCTTCCACCCAAGACAATTTTGGCATTCTCCGCACAATCTCCGCTGTGCCTGGGGTAAACGTGAAATCAGAGGGCTTATGGATTCTGGAAACATCGTTCCAAGCTGCTTCAATCGTTTTTGCAGTGGAAAATGTTCTTGGCAGTCCCGTCAGAGAGTACAGGTCCTTCCACAGAGCATCGCCAATGAAGTCGGCAGCGGTGAGTAAATGCAGACCTGCGATACAGGAGACCGCTACGGTCTCGGGGTTCACATCATCTGGTACAATGGATATAGGTAGGGACCCAGGAAGGGCATCAAGCACCCCAATTGTCCCAGTATGGGAAGGCATTTTGCGGTTAATCGAACTTGTAAAAGAGGGATGTTTTTATTTATGAAATGGTGTTGAAAAGGGAAGCCGGGCACCTCGTAACCAGAAGTACTACTTTCAGGCTTGAGCCTTGCCCTATTTAAATCCCCTATTATGTAGGAGAGCATGAAGAATTTTGCAAGTTACTATACCAGGCTGTATATATTTCTTTGTTTGATGTGTGCGAATATTGTTCTAATGGACAATAGAGACGGCAGTTTAGTCCCTAACTTTAACTCAATCCGCTGGTGCCTTCGCGACTTAGACATTGAGCTTGATATTTTTGTTCCGCTTCACCGAGGAGATTAAACCACGCACGCTTCGGCGCCAGACTGAGATATGACATCCATTCAAAATAAATAATAGATTCAAATCTGGGTTAAAAAGGGATGGATGTCTCTGTGAGAGAGAGAAGATTCAGCATGCACACAGACCCAGCAGATACAGTGCAGGCTCAAATAAGGTTTTCGGTAGGTTTCGTGACACAAGTGGGGCCAGCGAAAACGGCGGGTAACTAATATTAACTTACTTACCAGAGTCTCACAACATCAAAGTTGCTCAGCCTCAAGAGCATGGCGATGAATGATGGATGCACAAGTTTCATACACAACATTCATATATACATCATACTCACAGGATCTTGTCGCAAACCTGAATCTCCATCCCTATTCTTGCTAAAGCTTTGCGGTCTTTGCGTGTTTCTCCCCAAACCCCCCAGGCCATTGCGCAAGGCGTCAATAGGAAGAGGCTTTCTAACTCTAGTAAGATGCAGTAATCGTGTTCTTGCGTTGATGAACGCGCGGCATTTTCATGGTCTACGGGTAAAGTCCCTTTAAGTTTCTTCTGGACCCCAGGAGAGAGGAAATCAATTGAAAACAGGACTGGCCGTCTCAATTGTTCTGGCGTGTTTGTGAGTCGTCGGTCGGTCGTCAGGGCCTCCAAGATCCAGGAATTTTAGCTTGCATAAAAGATGCACTTACAGGGAACGTCGTCAGCTCTGATTGGATCTTTTCATCAGGGCGCTTCGCCGTGTTGGCATGAAATACCAAGCCTCGCCCCGCAGCAGTTGGAGGCCTCAATCCGCCTTGCTCAGCCAATTCCTCTGTATAAAAGGCCTCTACTTCCTCTGCTTTCTCTTGAAGAAATACAGGGGATTTCCTTTCTTCAATAGTGCATTATACATTTTGTGCTGCTCAGCTCAGTTCTATATTTCTTGCTTGCACTTTAACTTGCATCCATACGTTCTTTTATTCCTATTATCCCCCTATTCCATTCCTTAGTTTTGCGAGCACCGCGCTCAAAACCATAGAATACCTTCAAGAAAATCCATCAATATTCCAATTCGACCCTGACCCAAAGGAGCCATTCACAGAGGGATTCATCGATCCTAGGGTTCTCACGCTTAGCCGATCCCCTGAAGTTGAAGAGGGAGCTTATTATAACTCTCCCATACCAGGTCGGCAGCAGGATATAACCCAGGACGACGCTTACTACTCCCTTTCGGAGTCGTCATTAGATTACTCCTCTTCATATTTGGCAGGCTGCGAAATTGAGGATTTCTTGCGTTGTACGGCTGACGAAGCCCAGCCAGCTACCACCGTACGAAACGATACCTGTTCACCATCCGGACAAAGTCCGGCTCACTCCTTAAGTGAAGGTGAAAGCCGTACGTTGAAACTTTTCTGTTTGCACTGCGGGAAAGAGTTGAAACGTCGATGCGATCTCCGGTAGATATCCCTACCCCTTTCCCCTCTTCCATTTTCAAGAGATATTTAGCTAATACATACGATTCCCCCCCGTCGTCCTCTGGCTGAAGAAAACATGCGAAATATCATGTAAAGGATTGGCCTTGCAAAGTCCCCAACTGTACCAAAAAGTTCGCTCGGGAGCGGGACCTTCAGAGACACCTCGGGAGTGTCCACGGGGAATCATTCCCCGGGCTGGTGAAACGTTATCGGTGCCCCAGCGGGGACTATGAGACCAGTCGAGGAGAAAACCTCAAGAGACACATGGAGGCGAAACATCCAGATGAGCCGATTCCCGCGAACTGGAGAGAGATTTTTCTGAACAGAAAATGAAAGGCGTAAAGTCGGCTTTACATAAATTGAGTAATCTACCGGAGGTTTCTCCCCCCCAGGGGTGGTCGGTCACCTTTTCCCCTGATTTCGAGATGGCGATAATTAGGTACAGGAACATCGAAGACATATTCACCGAGTATTGAGGGACAATGGAAGTATCACACTCTTTTCTCCGCACGGGTAGGGCGGTGTCATGCGGCATTCGATTTGAGGCGCTATCCAGAGATGTTCGGTTCGAAACAGACCCCATGGGATTGATATGTGTGGAAGACCTGCAGAGCCAAGACCTGAGGGAAATTTAACGAGGCGGGAGGGAAGGTCTTGGAGGAAGGAATGATGTTGAACACGATGATTATTACCCACGTAATTCGTCTGTGCGCCCGGAAGGGTCCATACAGACATCGCACTGGTTGCCACACTCGTTTTCCCCCCCTTTTCCATTATGTATCAAATGTCAGATTTTTGCAGCAGAATGAAATGTGAAGCCTCATTTAGGTATATCCTTGAAGTCTTCGAGCGGAACGTGAGTAGATCTCGGTGTAATATATTTTGCGTCGGTGACCCCAATGGATACCAGAAGAAATAACATAGGCAACATGTACACGAAGGGCTCCAAAAATATCCAAATTTTACAATCAGATTAATTCTGTCGGGTCCCACCTGAGGAATGCTAGCCTGGTTAAACGCGAGAGAAAGAAAACGAACGAAGCAAAGGAAGCCTGCAAAGGAAGCCTGCAAAGGAAAGACAATGAGACCCAAACAAATAGAAAGAGAAAACCACCAAGGCTGAATAAATTGCCACATCATAATCGCGTAAAAAAATATTCTCGAGGTAGGTTTAAGCAACGTGCAGCGGCCATACCACCTACCAAGGTATAGAAATGGCGAACCAAGAGCTACTTAAAGAATGAGGAAGTCGTGGGAAGGTAGTGTTAATAATATGAAGGATTAGGAACGCGCGGAGAGAGGGAGAAAAGGGAGAAAAGAGGTCATGAACACTTTGAATGAGCATGGCCAGTATACAAGGGCCATTTGTGAAGGACGAAGATGGAGTAGAGCATATAAAAAATAAAAATAAAAAAGAGCAGAAGAACAAGAAAACAAGAAAGTTATCTGAATTCCCTTAATACAACCTAGAATAAAAACGGTAGGAAATCAACTTGATGGAAATGGAGAAGAATCTGAAGATGGAAAAGCTGACTTGAAGCGAGGACAATTTCGGCTGGTTCAGAGGTGAGGAAAAGAAAAGCAGGATTGAAGGAAACCGAATATCCGAGTCGAAGGCAATAAGAAAGCATCTGATAAGAGAAGCCAGAGTGAAACAATAAGATGAGGTTATTCTGGATTTTATTCCTGGCGGGTTCGTTTCACGCCATGTGGGTTCCAAGCGCCGTCGTTGCCGCCATGAGGCTGGCCAAAGAATGCAGGATTGAAATGAGGATTTTGGTTTTGGAAGCCGCCTTGAACTAGGTTAATGCGTGACGGTTAGTATCTTTTCTTTTGGGCCTGGTATCAAAACAATTAGCTCTCGAAAAGGGGTTGCCATACCTTGCATTCCCATGTTACCTGCCATACCACCCATCATCCCGCCCATCTGGTTGGGCATGCCTCCCATCGGCATGCCGCCCATGCCCATCGCACCCATTCCACCAACATTAGCAACCCCACCAACCGGCATCATAGGATTCGGCGCAGATCCCATACCTCCCCGACCTCCCCGCATACCGCCGGGACCACCTCGCATATTGCCCATCATGCCGCCACGGTTATTAAAGCCGCCGTAAGGTTGCATGCCGCCAACTGGGGCGGTTTGGAACCCGCCGCCCATGGCACCACCTTGGAAGTTCCCAGCTCCCATCGGCTGGGAGAAGCTACGATTAGCGTTAAACCCTCCAGTCATGCCGCCGCGATTATAGCCTCCACCGCGACCCCCGCGATAAGCACCGCCACTGCTCATGACGAAACTGGAGCTTTGGGTTGAAGGGGAACCGAAGCTGCCAGTCGATCCGGAACGCGCTTGTCGATCATCCTTACCGCGCATAGGGTTATCCTTTGGTAACGTACGGAATGGATTGGTGTGAGGATGTGTATACGTGACGGTGTGTTTTCTTGAGCTTTGTTGCGTGTTGAAAGATTCAATTTTATGTTTGGCGGCCGTTGCAGCCTGGGGCGATTTGAATTCAACAAACGCTTGTCTAGATAGCATAGCAGATAATTAGTTGTCAAGTCATTTGAGATCCGAGATTTGACGGTAATTTCGGCGTACCCTTTACTTTTACCGTTCACCTTATGCTCGCTGAACGTGACATCTTTAAGCTCGTTTTCAACACCCGCTTGATTCACCCAGCCTCTAATATCATCGTCTGTAGTCCACCAGTATAGATCAGAAACAAATAGTGCAGTAGTAGCATCGGGATCCGCAGTTCGATCATCATGACTCTCTTTTCGCTTCACCCCTTGCTGTGGTGGCGCTGGAGGTTGAGACTGGGCTTGAGGCGGTTTCGCAGGCTGGGGTGTTGCGGTACTAGATTCTCCAGTCTTAAATATCTTGTGACTGCCATTCTCGGCCTGGCCATTACCATTACTGTACTTCTCACCCGTTCCTTCGTTATTTACCTCACCATTCTGGTGTTGTTCCGAAGCATCGAGAATGATATCTGTTTCTTCGCCCTTGAAGTCGCCTTCTTGTTCATTCCCATTGTAACCCCCACCGTCCCCGTAAATGTCAATGTCAAAGTTATCATCCTCAGTATTAGCCATCTCGCGAATTTCCTGTACGGGATATCTGAATTCTGACGTAAATGATTGATCTTGATTTTCGTTATGCACAGGCTTCTGGCTCGATGAGCTTCAAGGAGAGTACATGTCTGCCAGTCGGACAACTCATATTAGCAACAGGGAAGACATGGATGGGGAATGAAGTTGGCCAGATGTAGATGGTGGGAGGTATAGTGCGATATCCCGGTAACGAGATGAGTCGCGGCAAGCCGCTTTCGTGTCTAGAGATGGACACGGCGGGAAGGAGAACGAGAAAGAAATATGAAAAAATAGCATGAACAGGATATACAACACGAGAAGACAAAGAGAGAGATAAAAAGGCAAGAAGATACGTACAAATCCCGACCGTACAAGGCTGCCGAAAAGAGAACACAATTGTTACTCGCAAAAGCGGGATTGGACTTGGTTCCTCACGAATGAGTATAAGCTACCTGACTGCCTTCGATGGCAAGTGCAGGAGATATGGAAGTCTTTTGGGAGTATGTTTTGAAGACAAAGATGCCTTGTACAGGACAATTTCTCGGAGTTCCCTCGCCAAGCTGATCTAGCTAGACAACAGTTGACACCACCACTCGATTTCTCTTCTTTTGAAGAAGTACAAGAAACAGGGAAAAAGGGGATAGTAAAGTCAGCTATGGCGGGCCAGTCAAAGTGGTAATGGTCAAGGTGAAGAGACGATTTGAAGCCCAATATTCACAATCAAGCCAAACTCACAGCCGCGTCGCCAACGACACAAAACCCTGGTAATGAAAAGGTTAGTCTGCCAAGCTGAATATAGAGAAAAAGGGGATAATAGAGAGAGATAGAACGATATGACGATGGTAAAGTGCTGGAGAAGGGGGAAGACGTGTGGGTTTGGGAGATTTGAAACGGTTGAAGCAAGTTTGGAGCTTGGGCGGTGATGAGTAAGTTCAGAATCACGTGGAAACGTAATTGGAATAACTAATCGCCGGCGCTAGAACCCGATCCAGGCAGTTACCGTTAGGACACCTACTACATACTCCGTACGTACAGGTTCGGTGATCTCGCTACTCCTCAACAACCTCCAATACATCTCCTCTCTTCCCTCCTTCTGACTCCTAACGCCACCAAATAAAGAAAAAGGGATATATCTGTCTCCCTACCACCTCCTATCTCTTTTGCATTCCGCCTGCACGCTCTCTTCCCACAATGTCGGACACCTTCCAAGAACTTGCGGATATCCCTAAGGATTTCGTCAAAGATGGCATGCTCTTTATGAACCGATGTACAAAACGTATGTACCACCGCTCCAGTCCCATCCCCTTTCACGCTGGTTGTTACAAGATCTAGTCCCTCCTGTCATCTTCCATCTACTGACACGCGCCATCAATCAGCCGACAAGCGCGAGTTCCTCAAGATTAGCCAGGCAGTTGGCTTCGGGTTTCTGATCATGGGAGTTATCGGTTACTTCATCAAACTGAGTGAGTAGTTTCCCTCCTTTCCAAGTCTGCTTCTATTTTTTTGATTATGCCGCTAACCATACTGCACAGTACATATCCCCGTCAACAATATTCTCGTTGGAGGCGCATGATGTGAGCAATCAAACAATATAACCGGTTGGGGGAGTCTAATAATACTCCCGGCGTTGAAATTGAGGAGAGGGGGGGATAAAAAGAGACGAAAAATATAAAAGCATTGCGCGCGAATATCAAACAAACTCCGTTGCTGCACTCGTTGGTCCTATCCGTTCAGCAGGGCCGTGCCTTCGAACTTCCCAGGCAGTATCTCCTCGAAAAGCCGATGATCATAGGGTGTGCTGTTAATTGGGCAGGAAACCCTTTTTGAGCGAAAGACGATAATTTTTATTTTCATATTTTATTTTATTTGCAAAACAAAAGGAGAGGGAAGCTGGTGGGAACTGAGTTCAGCAGATCGCACTTTATGTTCCCTCTGTTAATTTTTCTTAGCCATCTTTCTATTATTCTTGTTTATTTCCTTTATGTTATGCTTATGTACAATATCCAGCCGTCATTTATGTTGAGCTCCTTTTCCTGTATTGGTCGGTGTTTTGCCCTTTTTTACATTCATTGGAAATAATTTCATCTGTCCCTTTTCTACTGATGATCGGGCGTTAATTAAGCTGATATATATATCTCTCGACTAGATAAATATTAATGCATTGGGAGCTGCATTTCTTCGCATTTTTAATGACACGGTTTTGGTATACATAGAATCTGTGACAATGTACTGCTCGCTCATCCTTCACTAGAAAACAAGGTAGGGTAGCGATGGAGTTGGGCGATCAGGAAAACGATGCTAGCCACTACATAGTTGCCAAGTGCAAGTGCCGCGCCAACTAAACAAAACTGAGGAGATATCTTGGAAATGTCGCCCATATTTTAGGAGATAAGGGGTGCAGAATCGCGAAATACTCAGAGGTATCGTGTCGACAGAAACATCTCCGCCGCGCAAAACAGAGGGGCTGATAGGAGTATGTAAAGAATAAATACACACGAGAGTAGGCGTAAGCACATGTTCATCACGACATAAAACTGCGTAATCTGGAAAAAAAAAAAAAAGAAAAAAAGAAAAAAGGGAAAAGGAAAGAAAACCGTAACTCTGCGGACTTCCATATGAACACAAGAGCTTGTCATCTAATAGGCCATGGCTATCACGAGTTCGTGTCAAGGGGATCGTCGTCCTCTAGCGTGATGAATGATGCGACTCTTCCATTTCTTATTATATGACCTGTGAATGATCGGCTCTCTTCCGCAGAGCGGTTGCTGGGCTGTAAGGGTTCCAACTTGCTGTTGTAGCTTTGGCCGATGGGAGCTTCGGCTTCGTCGAGCTCTGCACCATCGCTCCAGGCATGCACGCTGCAGGTGCCCGTGGACATGCCCCACCCGTTCCATGAAGTTGCTGAGTTAATTAAAGACGTACGTGGTTAGCCGGGGAACCTAAATATGCACTGGGGACAGTGGATTTACCAGCTATAATGGGGGCATTTGGATGCCAACTGGCGTCTCTCACGCACGTTGCCCATTCGTTCTCGGCCCGCCCCATTCGGCGGGAAGAGCGGAACATATCTTGTTCATGTTTCCGAGAATTAAATGAGGCCTCTCCAACATCGATAATGCCAGCCACTGTAGCGTCGAGATTATAAATAAAAACACGGCCGTCTGAACTTCCTGAATACACATATTTGGAGTTGGTGCTTGTATCAGGAGAGAAATGACATCGTATGAGGGTCTTTAATACGCGGTGTCCTCGGAACGTGACAACAGAACAGTCGTGCGGATGGGGCCTGTAATCTGCATCTGAGATAGACATATATCTGTAATCAAACCCTGTGGAATAGCTATTCAAGTCGATTGTATCTAGCTTTGCACTCGTCATCATCTTGCGTAGGTCCCAGAGCTTCATGCTTTGGTCCTTTCCGTTGCTTAATACATATCTTCCGTCTCCCTTACTATCGACATATGCTATCATACACGTAAGTCGGGATAGTCACGCCACTTTGGTTAGTCCGGGAAAGATATTCTTTTCTACTCACTGATTCCTTCACTATGGCCTAAGAAACATCCTGCAGCACGACCATCTCCCATGGACCTCCGGTCCCAGACCTTTATTGTCGTGTCATCAGACCCTGAATAGAGAATATGGGGCGAAGACTTGTCCCCAAAACAAACGGCGTTCACATCGTCGTCGTGGTTTTCTAGCGTTAGTATTGGTGTACGGCTTTCGATATCATAGACAATCACACTTTGACTGGAAGTGCCTGCAATCAACTCGCGCCCATCACCACTAAATCGAATGCTCCATATCTACGAGATAAAGAGGGTTAGTTTATCCATCTAATTATATATGTAACGTTAGGAGGTATATACTCCAAAGTCTGATCCACTAAGGGGCGAGCCGTAGCGGCTTGCAAAATTCAGTAGAGTTGGTTCTGAGTCTGAAGATGGGTCTGTTCCCGCTAGGCACACAATATTTCGGATCGAGCTGTATGCCAAGTACCTGTTGTCTGGACTCAAGCTCGCGTCTGTGAGGGTCCATTGCCCGAATGGATACTCGACTGTTTTATACCAACGCCACTCGAGTGGATTTGACGTATCGTACATTCGCACCTTGAAATCCTGAGCGCAGGAAAAAAAGAAATTTCCGTCGTCGGAGAAGGATCCAGAGTAACATCTCGAATTATAATGAATGATTTTATCGGCTTTCGAATTGGGGATGAGATCCTGTCCATCTAGTTAGATCTAAAAGGGCGAAGCTAGATCCAAAATAGAACTACTGGTAATGCGCACCTGCGATATAGCACGTGGACGAAGTCGTGGGCTATTGGCCAATTCCCTCCACATTAACCTCGTTGCTAGCCTTTCTTTCCTTCGTTTTATCTTATCCACATAGTTTAGATGGCTTCCAAAATCGCCCGAATACATTAGCTTTCGTCCGGCATCGCTTGGTATTTTGGGTAGTAGGTGTTCGCCGGAGCGGGATCCGTGCATGCGATATATAGGCCCTCCATACACATCGTTGCCGTTATCGTCCAAGTAAAATCCCAACCCTGATATTCTGTGTGTAGGTAGCACTTGACGCAAACCCGACCCAAAAAGGCGAATAAATTCGGTGGCGGACACTATAAATCATTATCAACAAACGGCGGCTTTTGCTTCGGGCGACAAAGGAGCTCGTTACATGAGGCCGTGTAATGATCTTCGTCATCCGCTCCATGCCCGTCGGATTCCTCTAGTTGGTCATCTATTTCCCAGTCAGATCATCAACTAAATAATAAATAATACATCCATCACGGACGAAAGCCGGAGAAGCTTGATCTGCTGGCTATAGGACATCTCAGGAAGGCTTACCCATATTCTCAGATTCTTCTTCATCTTCCCACTCGTCATCATCTTCTGCTTCAACATCAAAGTCATCTGCCGGCACAAAATCCCTATCGTCGCCATCGTCACCATCGTCACCGTCGATTTCATCAATCAGCCATTCGGGAGCGTCCTCCCAGATATGTCTTGTGTCATGTTGATTGCCGGGAGATGAATTCGACGAGGTCATGACGGAAGCGCTTAGCTGATGTAATGCAGGCCTGCTTCGTCAATAAACGGGTGAGAGGAGCTCTTAACCTGAACCTGGGGATGGGGGTTTAGTCAGCTTCATGGACAGTTGGTTAACTATGGTAAGTAAGCTTGTATAGTGTGCACCAAGGTCACCCGGCGGAAATAAGGTTAAATCCGAGTTGTACATACAAACCTAATTCCCTTAAAATCCAGTCATGTCAGCCGTATAGTAAAATTCTCCTCCACCCAGATTGCCCCGTACTTGTTCCATATACTTTTCCCTGCTGTGGTCTTACTATCATTGTAGTTCTAAGAGCATTATCGCGCCGGTATCTGCCGAGACCGAGCTTGCAAACAGCTCAATTGTGCCAAGGAATATCGGATCTGGAGGAATATAAACCCGGGCCCCTCTCGGCGCACGGGCCACACTGCTGAATCAGCAAGCTTCTTGCATGCTCGCGCCGCGTCCATAAATGTATCTACTGCCCATGCGACCTTTAGACCTGATATCCCAACCATAGCCTACATTAATCCTTTTAACGAATGACAATCAATTTTCATAGCCATCCGACCAACGACCTCACAACTCATTGTTTCAAAGCTACCCCTCCAAATCCGCTCTGGTATCACTCTTGAGGGAGACCTCTGTTTCGGTGTTGTGTAGAGAAGCCATACGAAGATGCAGGCCATACCAGATGCACGCCAGCAGACCTTCGAGGAGATATATGGCCCTCCTGAAAACTTCCTCGAAATTGAGGTATATATCTAACTCCAAGGCACCCACTCCTACCTACACATTCTGTTGCAATTGTTTTGTTACCCCTCCATATACAGGCCTGCCTACGGTTTGCCCGAGGGCTATGGCTTGCGGGGTTGCCCGTCGCCTTTGACTACCTAAGCACTGATTATCTTGAATCCCAAACTGATCTCCGGTGTCTTCTATTTGTAACAGGTAAGAAATCCTCAAACTCACGGCACATCGCGCAACATGTATACCTCCTACGAAATCGTCTGCCGTACCAACATCCCCGCTTTCAAACTTAAACACTCGGTCGTGCGCCGCCGCTATTCAGACTTCGAATACTTTAGAGATATATTGGAGCGTGAGAGCGCGCGTGTGACAATTCCACCGCTTCCGGGGAAAGTATTCACCAATCGGTTCAGCGATGACGTAATTGAGCATAGACGGGAAGGTTTACAGCGGTTTTTGCAAATAGTTGTAGGGCACCCCCTACTGCAAACGGGGAGTAAAGTGCTTGCGAGCTTTGTGCAAGGTAAATATAGAAACTGTTTTCTTATTAACGTTTCATTTGTGTAAAGCTATTTCCCCGTATCCAGCTAACTTGGCCCGTACTAGATCCCAATTGGGACCGGAATGCATGGTAGGAACAAAATTGGATATACCTCTTTGACAGATTTTTTTTTTCTTTTTTTTTTTTAAAAAAAAAAAAACGCTACATTATATTCTTCCGAGCTACGCAAGAATTATACGAGGCATGACGGTCAAAAAATTGCAGAGTGTCTTCCTTTTTCCCCTCTCTCCTACTTTTTCATTTCGACAATACCCGACTGAAAACAATCTGGACAGAATGTTTTAAGAGCACTAAGCGGAGAACAGACGATCAAGTATTTAAGTGACGGACGTGATGCCTTGATCGATTTGATCAACATTCATATTTGCCTGGATGGAAGGTTATCTGTTCACAAAAATGCTGGCAACCTCGTGTTTCTGGGACCATTCCGATACTGCCATCAAACTAACGACAGGATGAATTGACATGTCCGTACTGTTTCTTTGGATTTTGATCTCCTATCTCCGCCTACACCCTCCATTACACACATCGAAGGTTCTCAATAATCTTTTTCCTACCTCCCATTCTCGCCCTGTTCTCACTCCTTCTTGCCGTTCCGTGCACACCATTTGCTTTATTTTAACCAACTCACCCAAGCGCGTATTCCACCCTGTTCTTTGTATATTTTCTTTCTTGCCCCCGATTCTCCTTCACATTCTCATATATATATCCTTTCAAGCTAAGTTACCAAGCCTTCCTTCAATAAGCCATCTTATCTTTATCTCTACAATGGAGCGAAATTGGAGACTCTTGATTTTTACATTTTCCCCCTCTCATGTGCAGGGTTACGTACTAGAGTGAGTCCCATGTACCATCAACCCCGGTATTCTATAGCCTGTTCAAAAATACGATATGCATATCTCATTTGCCTAGAAGGTCGCTTGTCAATTTCTCTAAACGGTATGATACAGATTACGCGACGTTTGTTCGGCTGTTAGGAGCTCTGTCTGAGCTTTCTTTTGGCGATTTGTAAAGGGCTCTCATTTCCAGTACTCGTACATCAAATAAACATGGCTACTAAGGTGAACTAATGCCAATCGGATGGTGAAATGTTGAGTGGTTGTGTTGACTGTGTGATAAGATGGGGCCGAAACTTACAGATATATGAATAAGTCGCCTATGACACCTTAGAATAATCACTTATATTACACTACCGGTTGAATCATTAACCTGTAGGAAATCCGTAAAAAATATGACTAATATTAATATAAAATGGTAGTGAATAGCCACAGGATGAAGATCAAGTAGAGAAGGTTGGAATATAGCACATCGAGAGACAATGTCAGATACAATCATAAATGCATATACCCACTATGTTAGCTCATCCCAGACGAGTGGAGGTAGGGTATTATCTCCCCAACTACTACCGTCCACGCAACCTGATCCTCCATCATCCATTTGGAATGTGAATAATGAAGTATTAGCAATGCTGGGCAAGTCTGGTAGCGCGGGCTGGGGAGGTGGAAGCATGATTGGATCTGTGGCGTTCGCGGGACCAACATCGTTCGACGGGGATGGCGAGGTAAGTCGCTTGCCAGATCCAGTGTCAGCTACGTCAGATTGGGCCCGAGTAGGTGTTGTTTTCGACTGGTTTCCGGAGAGCAGCATGGATATCGTTGGTGTATCTCTATCATGAGTCGAACGAGGTTCAGCAAGAGAGCCGTTGTTGTTGCTAACAGAATCCTTACTAGCGGTTACGGAGCCCCCTTCCCGGTAGACGTCGGGAAATTTAGTCCGGAAACGGTCTCTGAGATCTGTTGCTTTCCTATGCATTAAGTTCAGCCGTTTATCCTGCCGAATTAATGTCCATTGGAATCCATGAACCGCATGGCCTTTGAGGAGAGCGTCATCTTCTGTTGGTGTGAATGGACGGCGAGAACGCCTATTAGACTTAATGGTCAGGCAAGGCTCTCGAAGGCCTAGGGACATGAGGGTTGATCTAGATTTGCTGGACAAGGATAGGTTGGTTCTAGGGGTTGAAGACCGGGCCTTTTTGCGTTCGGGAGACTTAGGGGAAGTCGAATTCAAAATTCCATCTACAGACGGCATGGCCGGCGGGGACTCCAGGCTCGAATGAACGATATTGGTAGTCTGATTGGCAGGCTTCAGGATGATTGCCGTTGAACTTGCATCTGGTTCCTGCTTATTCCTGCTAGCCCGCGGATCAGGAAGTAGGATTTTGCCCAATAAGCTAGATTCCGGCCCATTTGACGAATCCGTGAGGCTATTTGTAACTGCTTCCAGAGTGTGCTGTTCCGAACCATAAGCCCATGGGCAGCAGACGCGGAACCTATCCTTCAGATTTGCAGCGGTTCGTTGGTTAAATTTAAGTTCAGGCTGGGCGAGGATTGCTGTCCAATTCCCAACTCCACACTTCACTACCCCTCGTAATAGATCTCTCGTCTCTGATTCTGTCCATTTTCGTAGCTTCTTCCTTGACCGGGTCTGGGGTTTGGACGATACAGGCTCCTTGTCACTTTCCTCTACAGTTTCTTTCGAAGAATGATGCTCTGGAAGAGTAAGAGGGCCTCCTTGCTCTGCGAAGGTTTCTTCGATTTCTCCAATACTCTCTTCAATACCGAGTTCAATGATATTATTAATCCGTCCGCCTCTTCGTTCGTTAGCCGCACTTCCAATTACGTTATCTTGCGGGGCTGGGGTATCTCGCGTTGGTCGCGTAAGAATTGTGGGAGCAGCATTAGGTTCTATGGGAGGGAATAAGGCGGCGTTTGGCGGAGGTTCATTTAGGCCATTTAATATCGTTAAAGGCCCAAAAGGAGGACGCTTAGGTGTTTCCTTCTGATTTTTGGGAATAGGAAGCTGAAGATGTTCTCCAAAAACATCACCACTTAGCTCCGGTCGGCGAGGCTTTCGTGGGACATCCTCGTCGAAGGATGCGTACGGTAGCTTCTCGATCGCGCGGAGATTAATGAACGTCGGCAGAATCGTCCTTGGAGGAGGATCAGAGCTTGATACCTTCCCGTAGATTGTATCAGAGCCTGAATTAGATGCCCGGGCCGCATGCAGGAAGTCCTCCAGAGTAGGAAGTTTAGCTGGTGGGTTTCCGCTAAAAAGTGAGGATTTTGAGATGTTCGTAGTTTCTCTCGTCCCTCCTGCATTCGGCTCGAGCGGTGAAGGAGCTTTGAGAGAGCGAGAGGGGATAGGATCCCGCAGAGGTGGGATGCGTAGATTGTTGGGCTGTGGCAAGTCTCGAAGTTGATTAAAGGGGTCATCGGCCGTGGGGATCGTATACATTCCCATAAGCGGGTCCATCGTCTCGACCAGCAAGACCCAAAGCCATTGACTGTGTAGCCATTTGTTCACAGCTGCCGACGTTAATCATATACTAAGGAACCTCGCTGGTCATAAAGGAAGTAAACTCTCCACATGGGAATTTTGGAAACCTGGATAAGCACCCGATCACGTGTTCTCTCACAGTCGCTTAGTCACCATATTCCTTGAAACTGCCGGCTTTGCAAACAGTCAAGTTAATTTTGACAACGATTAAGATTCGATATCGTCTCATTGACCAGACGGACCGGCTTGTGGATAAAAACACCCTTATAAGTTGAGAGTTCCTCTAGATCTCGAAATTACCGTGGATCTCCGTCCAAGCTACGGTGAACATTCAGAATGACCACAATCCTCCCACTATGGCCTCACATTCTCTTCGCGGTTTTGGAGCCAATTTCGCTGTATCTAAATTTTTATTTTTATATACCACTGAATGTTGGGAAATGAACTAACACTGGCTTCTCATAGGATTGCTGGCTTCTGTGTCGCAATTGGTAACACCAACAAATTCGTCGCTGGCCAGACCCCCAACGCCTTTACGCCCGCAGAATTGCCATTAAGCACCCAGGCTATCTCTTACCAGCTTGGCAATTTGTATCTGCTGCTGATGATGGCGGGTGTCGCTGTTTTGTACTCAACGTCGGAGCCAAAAGTGGTCAGAAACTACATCATTGCATTGGCAATCGCAGACGTGGGACACCTCTATGCCACCTATTGGTGTATCGGATTCCACGACCTAATCAACGTGATGGAGTGGAATGATCTGACGTGGGGAAATATTGGAGCTACCGGAATTCTCTTTGTGAATCGCATCGCATACCTCCTTGGTGCCTTTGGGTATGCTAAATCACCCTCTGGCACAAAGAAGTCCCAGTGAGTGGGGTATTCGAGAGTCATGGTCGGCCAAACTTGCTAGCCATTCCAGACAACATCTCTTTGGCGAGACTACTTGTTCTTGAAATTCTCATTTCCTTCTAGGTACATGTATGTACCGTACAATGCGCTAGCTTCCAACCCCATTTGATATACTTTGTGAACAAGTTTCTCGATTTCTTCATCCAGATGCCTGTCTAAGTGTTACTCAAATATACCCTCTATTTTGTTCTTTATAATTGGATTTCTTTTTTTTTTCCTAGCCCTGGCTTTTAGTTTGGGTGTAATAGATTCGGGGTTAGCAACAACACAGGTCGAAGGCTACAAGGCCAGAACGGCTAGTGAAAAGACGACTGTGAGAGTTTACGACATGAACTTTAACCAAGTGTGCGTTCATGGCGTTGTTAGGCGCCGCTGCCGAACGTATTTCTCAATAATACGAGTGGGTCTTCAACCAGCCATTTTTACAGCGTATTCCCGGAGGCCTAGTTAATAGCCGGCGATTATTACTTGACGAGCATGGGATAGGTCGTCGAAAGTTACACATCAACTAGTTCTCTATCTTAAATGTTGTATGTACTGTACCTTCTTTTAACTACAATTCCGCTAGCCTACTACCTCGCTGTCGTCTCACTGTCGTTTCTCGCTGGACTCCTCATTCTACTGGTGACTAAGCCCAGCGGGTGTATGGGCAGATCAGCCCCTCACCCCAAGGGAAAAGAAGAAGAAGAATAAGAAGGATGTGGAGAAAAGGGCGAGATGTCCCAAATATTGTCCGCTGAAGGTGTGGGGGACGGGAGCGCGTGTAAACCGGGCGGTCTGAAAATCCCGCTTTTTTATGCACGATGAGCTCGAAGCGGTAAACAATCCCCGAGCAAAATTGTGTGCATTCACTTTGCTTCAGGTGTCGACACGTACTTCATCATGTATGCACCTCGTCTCCAAGGCAGTCCAGGAAGGGCATTGTCATTCCCTCTCACCAAATGAGCCAATAAAGCCATAAGCATGGAGGTTGGTCTCGAGAAGGAGCTTGAGGTCCTGTCAGTTGTTACTTAGCCTTGCAGAGAGAAATGTAAATGACTAGACCATTTCCTTTGCTTAAACGTCAGCTTTGGTCCACACATTTGGCGGATAGGTGGGTAGTGACAGATTGCATCAATACTAGACTGGCGTAGCTTCACCTAAAGCTGATCTCAGTTTGACAAGCACTCTGGGCTTGCCAGAAACGAGGTACAGTACTTACAAACGTCTGGTTATCATGTAACTCAAGCCTGCATCATACCTTGCCAATCACTCGTAAATGGAGGGAGTGGTTGAAGCTACAAGCTCTAACCCAAGAAAAGTCCGCTGTGTCCGTATGAGGCTATAGTTGTATCCATTGTCACCTTGGGCAAATGAATAGTCCGATTCAGCAACTGCTTAATTGCCGTCTTTTTTGTTTTTCTTTCGGGTTTGTTAAGGCCCGAATAATAAGTAATCGGGTATAGCGTCTCCAAACAGCGATTGAGCTCCGTATATCATTTGTAGGATATGGGGCTGCTCATGCATTTCCACTCCGGTCTAGTTAACCTAATTGCCGATTGCTGTATTGTTTTGAGCAAATAAGCAGAGAACAGCATGGCTTTACGGACTGAGACGGGGGGCATCGCTACCAGCCAATTTCGGACTGCGAACGTAAATCATTGAAAAAAATTTCGTTAGAAACAGGCAACCGCTGTGGGAGCGTAATGAGCACCTTCCAATAGCTTGTCCAGCGAGCTTAACGAGGATATTTTAGGTCTTTTGTTCCTGTGTCGGCTTTGGTAAGCTTAGCTCTTCATTTGGGGAATGACATTATTAGGCACGATTTATTTACGAAAGATAAAAATGAAAGATTGAATTTTTTGTTCTCACGCAAAGTGCCACTGGACTCCCTGAGCAGTTTTGGCGGAATCATTGCTCTTGACCGCCCACATTCAACAGACGCAGCTTAGTTCAAAACCTAGAGCTATTGGCATGACGTGGAACAAGGGCCAGCAGGCGGCGTGGTTTCGGTAAGCTAGAGTGTTAAGAGCCTCGGGCTAGCGAACGCGGACAGCGCCCGCGATTCCACGAAACAACGGCCCACGCTCCAAGCATGCGCCCGTCCCAAGCTAGGGGTTAGCACCCGACCCTTTACCATGGTAATATCCCGCATTGTGGATCCGCTTAACAGGTGGAGAGAGACAACGCAGGTTCAGTATGGAAACCCTAAAGCCATGCGTAAATCAATTTGTAACTATTATTCTGTAGTGTGACCAGAGTGAGTGGCTTTGCGATACCGACTGGGGATGGAAATATGCAGCAGCGGAGTGGGTATCAATTGGCCCCTTGGCTTCTCGTGGCAGGTTGAAACTCTGAATTTAAGAGGTTGGATTTAACGGAAACCGTTGCACCTTAAGCGAAGCGAGCTCTGCTCATTACATGCCCCTCAGTTCCTCCTCAGGAAGCTGAACAGCCTTGTTTAACCGTGCGGAGAGAGATGCTGTGTATACCCGCTTTCCTGGAGAACTCAAAAAGCAGCAGTCAGGCCATCCACTGTTTCCATTCCAATCTTTCCGCTACTTAAGCGGTGGCAGTATCTGACTGGCGTACACAGCATGCTAATGTAGTGGGCTCAAATTCATGATGATACGTACTCTAAGAGAATTGCCGGGAAGCTTCTTTGAGAATTACTCCAAACGTACGGATGCTGTTTTTTGGGGTCTGATGCGTTGCTTGAGGTGGCAAATAACAAGGAATTCTTGGTATGTTTTCTGGGATTTTGGCGACAGATAACTTCTTAAGCAAACGAGAGACTAGGCTGAGAAGCAGGAACACCAAGCTGTTCCCAAACCAGTGAACCTCGAAACATTCCTCTCGAAGATGAACCGAACCAAACACATCCCTAGTGCGCGGAAATTGGGAGGGGTTCTCGAGCGAGACTGACGTAGTGCTCTACAAAGCCCGCCCCAGTACGGTATCGAATTGGGCTGGACAAAAAAAGGCTCCATCCTGGGCAATCGATGTAGAGAAGTGTCGATCTGCAGGAGCCACTAAATAAAAACAATTGGGATGCAGACACTGGTAACATGCACTATACTTGGAACTGCAATGCAGAAATCCCCCCCAAAATCTTCTCCTGTGGTGGGTTGCGAGAAGAATCAGAGGCGGATGCAGAAGAGTACAGCTCGATCAGCAAGGCTACAAATTTCTGCTGGCATCTTTACCCAGGTTTCCCCCAGGCTGACAGAAGCGGAGTATTTGCAAGGATATTGTAGCGTGAGGTCCGTTGAGCCAGTTATGCTTCCAAGGCCGTCTCTGGAACCCAATGATCCGCTACACATGGAGGTGCTTTTTGTGCCTTCGCCCCGTAATGAATCTCTAGCATACAGCCATTTCATTTCTTATGATATCTCATCCTTCCGCGGTTGGCTCAGCTGCCTTCACACAGTATATAAGGGCTCTCGAGAGTGGTTCCTGTTTGAGTTTGATATCAAATAGCGCTTCCTCAGGCGGGCCGAGCGTCAGGCCACGACTCTAAAGGTCTCGAGTCATGTAGTCCGAACAAGTACGTACCCCGCCGTAAGCGCACATGTGCGGAGTACCTACCAGCGGGGTGGTTGCTAGTAGCGGCATTCAGCGAATTGTGGCTGTTTTTTAAAAAGAAAGTTGCGGTCCGTTTAAAAAAGTGCAGATTGGCCGAGGATGACTAATAAGCTATGGAGCTTTCCTCAACATGATGCAATCTGTCTGTACGCAGTAATTGACGAATAATTGCGAGTAAAGAACAACTCAAGACAGCCAGCCAGCCCCCGCCGGAATTACACCCGAAGGTCTACTCCGTACGGCGCCTTCAGTCGTGGCCTTTGGGAATATAATAATAATGGCGATCCGATCCTGGCAACGCTGCCAAAGCAGTTAGCACCTCCATAACTCCTCGTTGCCATCAAGGGGCAAGCAGATAACAACCATCGCTTGGTCCAGTGGCTCCTCGCGCGCCCCTTAATAATAATGGCTGGGTCTGGAGTCCAATCCTGGGCACTAGGGATGTAATATAATCAACCACCCAAAACCACTCCATTATTATTACGATGATGTCGCTGTGGATCTTTGCACGCACGCGATATATTAGACGGCTAATCGCCGTTCAGCAGTTGGTTTCTGCCGAAGCACAAACATACAAAGCACCCATTATTATTATTTGTCTTAAGGTAAGAATACCAACTGGAAGGGTTCAATCTGACCCCGGAGATTTCCTCGCTCGGTTTCCTAAAAATACGCTTGTTCTGGAATTCGGGCTGATTTGATGGGTCCGCCACTAGCAGATTCCGTTCTTCTTAAGGAAAGGTGAAGCTTGTATCAGAGCCCCAGCGTGGGTGAAGCGTGCGTTCCCGTGGCACGATGTAATCCATACCATACCGGCCATTTTTGACAGAGCGCTTGAAGGGGCACTTTTTATCGTATCCAGTCACTGCGGTTGCTTCTCTGACAACCTGCGTTGTGATTGGCAAACAATGAGTGCCAGCGTTTGCCGACCTGCTGGAGGTCAACTCGCTAAGATCGAGCCAACTGTGGACTGGACTGCAACCCCGGAAGCACTGCACACAGGGGGAGGGGCAGGTTCAAGCTAAAGGGTGTCAAATTGGAGTATTATTACATGGTTGGCATTGATTGTCTCTCCTGTTTCACGTTTCTTTTATAAGGATCAACCCACAAACCTAGAACTCGGAATCCGCCTGAGTGGGACAGCATACCCAAGCGGTATTTGGGGAACGCCACCCACGCCCCCATTATTTGGCCATGAGCCCATCTCGAAAATGGCAAGAGTTGTCAAAGCCCCCCATAGTTAACCAGCCAAGCCGGCCTTCTTACGGTGAAGAAGAATGGAGAGTGAGGGCTTTCAAAGTAACCCTTCATGTTACGCTTGATTCCAGCATCGGAGACCGCCAAGGCAAATCGGCTTTTACACTCTTCATCCTCGCCCCCCTCGGGCTTTTCCAGCTGATCACACCTCATCCTGCTAATCATCATCCCCTGTAGTCGCATCTTTTTGACCCTCTTTCAGTTTTTCACCACTCTCCTTCGATTTTGGACTTGAGAACAATTATGATCCCCCTGTTCTGAATGACTCTCCTTCTGCTTCGTATAATCTCTACTAGTGAATGCCTGTATATACTTGCCGCTAGACGGAACCTGGGGACATGGCTCAGCTCCCAGAAGGGAATGGCAGGCCCTTCCTCCTTTGGCAAACCGCCCAACTCTTTGACGCGCCGGCCGAATATGACTCTGCTCAAGCCTACCCCGCTGAGATCATGAAGCCGGCTGGATATATATTGGAAACACCCCCTACAACTCACGATAACCCTCTTACCACCGTTTCCAGACCAGTACCGATTTCCGTGCCTCCTTTCAAGGTCGACCTAAAGCCGCCCCGTTTTGATGTCCAATGGCGATGGTGGGAAGATGAAGCCAGCTTTATCCTGCGAGCATTTGCGGTTGAATCCATCAAACGACTTGTGCAGTTCCGTTTGTATCACGACGACAACCTCCCAAGGTCCATACTTCGGAGTCGAGACGCGAACACGGTGACTGCATTTCTCAACTCCTTGCTATCTCCCAATGATGGCACAGTGGTAACGGAGCTTACTCATTACGATAGAGTCGAAAAGCTGCTGAGCCTATGTCGTTCTAAGGATAACGAAGCCAGGCCTTGGAGTTGGTTTCCCACGTCCACCCCGAACGAGATCTGCTATGAAGCCGTTGCGAGAGACATTAACGACGAGAGCTACTTGCAGTTTAAGGCAGTTCGGTTCGAAGACTGGGCCCACTACTCACTTGGATACCCCACGCCATCGGTGGAATGGTTCCTCATGCAACATTCTCAGCTCTCTAGCTACCTCATGGCCCATTTCAACGAATTCCCTGACCAAGCATATAAATACGTCGAGGTGGAAAAGGTCCGTACGAGTCCCCAATGCTTTGATATTTATAACACTAAACCTTCCTTTAGCGTCTCCGCTCGGGCAATCCTTTTGCTCATCAGGCGGTTTTATGCACTCTTAAAGCCAAAAGAATTTTGGAATTTGACGATTCTCCGTTATCGGCGCACAGACTTATGAGATTCCTCACTATCCCTATACAAAACTTGTTCACAACACAGCAAAACGGCCTAATACGGATGTTAAAGAAACTGGTGGTATTGGAGGTCCGCTTCAACCAAATATACCATCGAGGATCAGATGTGAAATGGGATAGCTACTTTGAGGCTGAATCTCCCTTACTCGACGAGTTCTTCGAGGCATCTTCTCCTCGCGCTCTGGCAAGGAGTCTTACACACTCGGATGACCGGGACTTTACCGGCCTATGTCTACAAAGCTTCGTTACAGAAGACTCCATATTCCGCCGATTGACAGCAAACTGGGATAATTTGTGTACAGTTACCGAGGAGTGTTGTCTCGCTTATCCGGACCTGATTGACTATTTTAAAAGCTGTGTTCAGGTTAGTTTTTTCTCCGTGTGCTCATACAAACCTTGGTTTAGACCTTGCCATATGACAGCGGTTGACGCATTGGTTTAAAAAGGATCTATACAACCAAAGGAATTATTATTCGGCAACAGCAATCATCCATGGTCTTCAGAAAGCGAACCCGCAAAGGTTTTCATTCAACCTGCTTTTTCCAGCCACGGGCGCTACATCACAAGACTTTGTAGGATTCCCGTCAAATTTCTTTGACCTCCTTGACGCTGCTAATAACTACGCATCATACCGAAAAATATTACAAAACAGGCCTGGGTTACCGTTTCTCCGCCCCCATGCTATAGAATATCAGTCATACGGAGAGCTGGGGCTTGTGGGCTTATTCCCCCTTCCTGATCTATAGTGATGAAGGAAACAGCAGATATGATTATAAGATGCCGTATCATTCTGTTTTTCTTCTAGGGTTAAACTACCTATCAGTCACTAGCAAGCCCGTGATGTGATAGCCATCGGTTATTTGTTGCCAGATCGAAGGATTAGGGGCTGCGGTGACAATATAGCTGACAGACAAAAACTGAGGAAAGGAGGGCTTTCACGTAATGATTTGTTTTGCGTATTGAATTTTCTCCCGTGAAATTCGCTTTCTCCAGTTTTATGCGCTAGAAACGGCTATGAACAATGCGCGATATGTGATGCCTGCATTCATTCTTCTTTGAAGGTATGGCCCACACCCTTTGCTACGTATGCGTTACAGCCACCCACCCACTATCTAGCTATATCAACTTTCCCTCTTAATCTTCGCAGAGCTCTCTTGACGATCCACTCCGTAAGCGAGAATGGCATCCACCGATTCCATGAGTCTCCGCAACCTCGCCGTGAACACCCGCAGGGTCATTTTTGCAAGGCGCGCATTAAGGCGGTGGACAGGCCAGCTCTAGACCGCTGATAGGAAAATAGGTTCAAATTGGTTTAACCCATACGCAGGTGGGAACGTCTAAAATGGGTTTCAAAAGTGGTATAAGGTCGCCAATGGGAGAAAATTAGTGGCAGGCTATCCTGCAGCCACTATGATATAATGGCCATTAATATCTCTCTTCCTCCTGTTTGCCACAAGTCCCATCACCTTTACAAAGCCTTCGTGCCACCTGAGACATCAAAGCTACGGAAGGGCCAGGGAGAGGACGTGCCAATAACATCCATATAACACTCACTCACCCGCTTTCCTGCGAGGAATATCGACCTATGCGCCTCGTCTGAACTCACGATTGGCCCCATGCTTCCAGAGCCAGGTATAGAATTGAGTTTTCGTCCCGCGTTTGGAGAACATTTGATTATTTCTCCGGTTTTCTAGCTACATGCCTAATGACCAATCCATGATCTCCTGGGGTATATGCACCTATCAATCCACTATGCGAGGTTTCATCAGCGGAATCACAAAATCAGAATTGATTGAAGCAAAGAAAGGTGATCATGTCGATTACAAGCCTCTGCGAGTTAACAAAACCTCGTTGCAGTTTTGAGTGGCGTGCAGCAAGAAGGGTTATGCAATGAATAGTAGCCAGCTGGGGGTGATCGGATAACATTCCAATTCCGTCCTGCTTTTTCAGCTGGTTTCTCTCTTTGCCTATACGAAGTCTTTCATAAATTTACCCCCAACACTTTAGTTTGTGCTTTGCATATTCTGGTTTGCTCGAGGCCGTGGTTAATCTTCCCGCCACTGGCCTCTGTGTGCGACTCTTAGGGGGGAGCTACTTCTGACTGTCTACTTGTTTATCATACATAATACACGCAAATATAAAGTATACCCACTATATATGTAAAACTATACCTCCACGATAAATTTTCTTCCCAATGATTGATTTCGAAGTACTAAGGAAGCACCAGTCGCGACTTCTCGTGCGACAACTAGGCGGCGTGGTGATGCTTGGGCTGAAAAAGGGGGCAAAAGACAAGGTCGCCGAGCACCTTCACAGTGGGATGGGATATCTGCGGCACCCCTGGCCACTCGCCAATCTGACGGATCAGTTTACAACCAACCTGAGATCTTGCCCCGTCACCCTTCCTGACGTGCGTGCGATTTGTTTCCCGGATTTCTCGCCTACTACATCTGTTGGAATATATAGTGACCTCAAAATAACGGCCCCTTCAGATTCTCCATGAAAAGGATTTTTCAAGTGCGTACCCTGTTATTATGTATCTGAAAGCACGTATGAATTCGCCACCAAAAACCCATGCGTGACTTGGGAATTCGAACACTGCTTGATTGGGTACGTGTGCATGTGCTGCGACGAAACGTGTGTGCAATATATGCAATGTTTTCTATCAGGTACGTAATGTATGGATGGTTCATCCGCTCAGTCGGGATGCAGCGCAATGGGCAATGTTGGAGGGTTTGAGATTGAGCACTCGTGTTGTCGGTAGGGTAGAATATTGCCTCTTTTTTATTTTTTATTTTCTATTTTTTGGGGGGGGTTGGTTGGTTGGTTTTGTGCATCAATGCATGCAGGTGGTGCTGGCATGGGTGGAGCTGAAAGTCTACTTTTCATGCATTAATGCACATACTACTAAGAAATAATTCAACTCAGATTTCATATCAATCGCCCCATATCTCATCCCTAAAACTACTCTACTTGCGCTCAATGCAGTCAGTGTATACAAGCACATGCTACACATAGAATAGAATCCCCGACATTGTTAGCATAGGCATTTTGTCTGATAGATTTGTTCACAGCACCGAGATCATCCTTTGTCAAAACCCTGGTGCAGATACGATCGATACAGTCTGCAAGAGGTAGAATATACGGGAATTGCGATGAGGGAAAAGTTGGTAAGTCATAGTCGACCCTGAGCGGCAACTTTATTTTGAGTTTCCATGCCCAAGATTCTGCAAAAAGAATGGCATTGCTTGTTGCTCAGGTAAGGCTACGGATATGACTGGAGGGTTTATGCTTGCTGGGTGATGTAGTGGGAACGGAACATGATTTCATGAGAAAGATGGAGTCGGCAATTTCTGAAGTCTAACGGAGATTGTTCGCACCCAATACGCAAGGAAACTTTGAATCTCTGGGGGGTTTGGCAAATCCTCCAACTTGACATATTCTTTTGTATTCTAGAATTGAACTACGTTTGCAGAGAGCTTTTGGGGAAAATATAGGGACCAGGCCAGACGAATGGGTTTGGGTCATGCTCATGCATTAATCCCCACGAAATCGTTCAACCTGGATAGTATATTATGGAAAAAGCCGTGCAACAGTAGTATCAAAACATAAGGTATCAAACAATTCAAACCATTACAGGACGCCATTCTCCCCATGAAATTGTTTAGTCATGCGCATATTTCATTTCATTTTATTTATTTTTTTGTCACATGTCACTACAAACTTAGTGACCAGCAAGGGCCATGGCACGGCGGCGGTCACGCTCCTCAGCAATAGAGAGCTAAATAATATGGTCAGCATACATGTATATATTTCGAATAGGCAAGGAGGGAAATAAAAGCGTACCTTGACCCCCTTGCCCTTGGGCAGGCTGATCCATGGCTTGTCCTGTCCAATGATGAAGACGTTGGTCTCACGAGTGGCAAAGGAGTTGTCAATGGCATCCTTGATGTGGACGATGTTGAAACCACCATCATGACGCTCACGATGGGTAATGACACCCACACGTCCCATGTTACGACCACCAGTAGCCATGGCGATAACACCAGTGTCAAACTTGATGAAGTCAGTGATCTTGCCAGTAGCCAGATCGATCTTTACAGTATCGTTGACCTTGATAGCAGGGTCAGGGTAACGGATCCTATAATACCCCAGAAAGGGAGATGTCAGCATTTCGGGATAATTTCCCCATGTTCTTCATAAAAGAAATATAGCCAGGATATCGTGATATCGTGTTTCCAAGGATATCAACCAAAGCTTGGTCCAACGACTGAATGATGCGGAGGAACTCACGTTCTAGCATCGTGCGTAACCAAGAATGGGATACCGCCCTTGCCGAGCTGAACACGCTTGACTTTGCCAAGTTTGTATTCGGCCTCCTCAGCTTGGATACGGTGAACGGTGAAACGGCCCTTGGTGTCGTAGACGAGACGGAAGTTCTCGCCGGTTTTGTCGATGGTGATCACGTCCATGAAGCCAGCGGGGTAGGTGGAATCAGTGCGGACTTTTCCGTCGACTTTGACGAGACGCTGCATGAGAATGGCGTTGGTCTCACGCGAGTTGAGCGCATACTTCAGACTATCATCCACGAGCTCTTGTTAGTATTTCTATAACCCATCTACAGCGTCCAATGTTCGGAATCTTGGGCTCACCGGTTGCGAATGAAGACGATGAGAGGCAAGCAATCTCTCAGCTTGTGAGGACCAGGGGATGGGCGAGGAGCATAGGAACCGGAGAGTTTGTCCAACAGCCAGTGCGAAGGCGCACTCAGGCGCTTCTGATGCTTCTTTCTAAAATCGCAAAACGCATTAGTTTCAAGAATGGTTCACGTGAATTGGCGGATCAGTGAGTAACATACGGTCCACGGCCCATTGTGATTGATTGTCGACTTGATACCTCGAATTGTCGTTGTCGCGGAGTGGAGGTTGTCGGCGAAAAGAAGTGCGAGCTGGAGAAGTTTTTGGAGGCTTGCGGAAATTCGCTTAGATTCATGTTTTGGGTTAGTGTGAGTGTAGCCCTAAGGCTAACTGGATCAGGACCTTGGCCTAAACTTTGGAAGGCGGGTCCCATTGGAGGTTTGTCCAGTTTGCATCAAACGGTAACTAGTTACTTCTCTCACACTAAATTAGTGACGGCGGTACAAAACATTTCAGAAAACTACATAGGATTATATTTGATGATTGACATATTTCACCACTACCTCACTTCATGCGCATCACAACAACATAGAAAGCGTTAAAAGAGATTGTCTTAAACACATTCTCCCGTCTACTGTGGCGGAAAATAAGTTCTCTCAAGACAGCGATCTCGTTTACGGATTGAATATACGGGTGTTTGCGCACTTTCTATTGCCTCGTGAGATTTTCCTCCAGACTACGTGTCGCTTCGAATACTTTCCCAGGATTCAACAACCAGAGGGGGTCAAGGGAGCGCTTGATACTGCGCATGACGTCGATGGTGTCCGATCCGACTTCTTTGACAAGTGACTGTTTTTTACCGAGTCCAACACCGTGCTCGCCCTAAATAATGTAGTTAGTAGTGATAATAGAACAATCAGGACGTTAATAATATCCACACAGCGATAAAGGGAGGGTTTTAGAGCAAAAGCAAAGAAGGGAAGGAAGATGAAGAGGGCTGCAAACTTACTGTGCAGGAGCCGTCCATTTCCAGTGCAAGATTAACCATGTCATACACGCTCTTTTCCACCTTCGCCCGCTGGGCAGGGTCCTTTTTGTTGTACAATATGCTCTCGTGGAAGTTGCCATCTCCAATGTGGCCGAGGATACTGGCAAATAGCCCTAGATCATCCATGTCCTTCTTTGACGATTCTAGTTGTATTTCTTAAATCAGCCAAAACTCTACAAATCCCGTTTGCTTTTATTTCCTTGCACTTTTTCAATTAAATGGCAGCCGGGTGTAAAACTTACCGATAATGTCAGGGAGCCTAGAGAGGGGCACTGCAACATCCGTAGACCAAATATCATCTCCCTCCTTTCGAAGCGCCATCATGCTCCAGAGAGACTGCTTGCGTGCAGACCATAGCTCCTGAGCTTCCTTGTCGTCCTTTGCAAACACGAAAGAACTGCTGTTGTTTTTCTTAGCAATAGACTTGGTCGCTTTGATGTTATCAGCGACGCCAGCGGGCGATCCTGAAAATTTGAAGAAGAGCGTGGGAACCTCCTTCCATACGCGATTGGTACCCCCAGCGCCATTAATAACTTTCATCTGCACCTCGTCAAGGATTTCCATGCATTGGACCGGAACCCCGGTGCGGATGACCCTCATGGCGGCAGAAGCGGCATCACGTATGCTCGGGAACGTGGCCACGCCAACCCTCGTCTCTTCAGGCAGTACAGCGAGCTTGAGAGTTATTTCTGTGACAATTCCCAGCGTCCCCTCAGATCCTACAAACATCCCTGTTAAATTGTATCCCGCTGCGCTTTTCCGCGGGCGTCTTCGTGTCTTGATGACTCTCCCATCGGCCAGCACCACTGTCAGGTTGATAACCCAGTCTTTCATAGTCCCGTAGCGAACAGCATTGGTGCCGCTGCAATTTGTCCCAACCATGCCTCCAATCTTGGCGGATGGGCCCGGGTCAATGGGAAAGAAGAGGCCCGTATGTTTGATTTCCTCGTTCAATTGCATCCATTGAACAGACGGCTGGACGACAACATCCATATCATCTTCATGGAGCTCAATGACCTTATCCATATGGACAAAGTCGATGCTCATACCCCCGTGAGGCGCTGAGAAGTTCCCCTCAAGGCTACTACCCCCCGAATAAGGTATCATGGGCATCCGATACTTGTGGCATATTTGGGCGATCTGGGATACGTCCTGGGTGTTCTTGGGATAGGCCACGGCGACGGGTAGTTGTTCGCAGTTTATTGATGACCATTCCGAATATCCATGGAGATGCAGGTCTTCATCGTCCGTACTTATCGCATCCTCTCCTAGCAAAGTGCGTAATTCGGCAATTGCCTGCCAACACCACGGATCTCGGGTTAGTCTGCGGACATTTGTATGCATATTAAGCACCGTATATACGTGCACATTGTAAATGTGTGTAAAATTGTGTTTGACATATTTTTACTTGAAAGGGATGTTATTGCTTGCTTTTTCTAAATCCTTCGTCGTTCCATATTTTGGCTCCGCATCTATTCGGCCAAATAGCTGCGAAACGCCGGGGACAGAATCGTTGATACCAAGCGCGTACCCGAGGCCGCCAGCAATGGTTGCTAGAGCGAGAGCCTGAACAGCTCTGAAGGAAGATGAATCTGGAGCTGCTTTTTGCGCTTGAGAGCCAGGCGCACTGCTGCTATTCCATCGACAGGAAATTTTCTGTGGGCGTTGTTGAAGACCTCGCGCACGGCAGTAATATCCCACCCCTCGCCGGCTAACGGTTGCGGCAATTCGGCCGAAGGGTCTCATGGCGGCTCGTTTCTAAGCGTTTTGTATGACTAGGTATTCGTTGTAACAATCAATCAATCTATAGTTTAGGATAGGTGTGAGGAGAATTAAAGGGTAGTTAGTAGTTTAGACATTCGAATAGATCGAGCTGGTGCCACGCGCGAGTTTCGGACAGTTTCAATATATTTCTTTTTTCTCGGCTGTTCCTGTTCCTGTCATATAAATATGGGGAACGATTTTTGCGCGGCCGGGCGATGGTGGCGCAATTCTACTTTGCCCTATTTATTTATCTTTTGACTGCGAATATTGGAATACAATGCTAGATGAACGGTAATGTTAGTTTCAATGTTAAACAGAATTCGACTCAAAAGTTTGTGTGTGTGGTATTTAATCCGGATTTCTCGTTGAAACAAACCTGCGATGATAACCGAGAAAACTCCTCCTTCCCCTAGATTCTTGGAAGCACCCTTGCTAATTAATATGTTGTTAGATGAATGTTGTTGCCTCAGTAAATCAATTTCATCGATGACTTCATGAAATACGGGATATAAGACTGGTTCTTCATCTGCGAAACTCAGCCGCCCAGGTAGCCCTATTTCGAGCCTTTCAAGTCATTTTCGAACGATGAGACGTGAAACGCTTCAGTTCCTGTGGTCAGTATTTAATGAATTCGCGAAGTCTGAAAAGAAGAAACTTTACTACCCATGTGCTGACGAATTCTAGGTTGGGCTGGTTCAAGTCTTGAAGCGAATGGTATGGCTCAAAAGTCCTTCTGGAGATTTGGAAATGTGCTCTGTAACTACCCCCCGGAGCAATTTGACAATTGTCACACTTAACATGGTGATTGTTAAATGCTATTTGGAGCCATGCATGACATTCGCTCTCAATGCCTTGCACAAATCCTACCGCTCCTACTTAACGCAATAACGGTACATATTCATACTCCGACCTGTGGAATGCAAAGCCTCCGCCTTGAATCAAGACATGAGCTACCATATATCCATACAGATTGACCTGCAGTTTAGGGAGAGCCAAGCTATTTTTTGGAGATATGCGCGGAGATGCCTATCACATCCGCTCCCTGGAGATTATACAACCATTGTGCAGAGGACGTGTGCAGAGACAATTTTATATACCTGGTTACGGGAGGGATAAGCGACCGGCCCTAAGAACGAACCTGGAAAATACAATGGCAAAAATTCCAAGCTCAGCGCATCCGGACCCTGAGTGATATGGTCCGTCACGCCGGAAACCTGCTTTGTTTAGCCATAGTCGGCTTCGACACTATGTATGTATGTTCTCTTCCGGACAGCTAATGTACCTACAATCAATCTGTCAACTGTTTGATGCCGCTAGGCGGTTGGCGATGCTTGAACTGGTGGCTCTACATGCTGGTGGTTGGAACTACGGGCAACCATGCCATACAACCGGATCAAAAAGATGAAAAAGATGCCGCACCCGGCCGGAGCTGGCTATTTTGTGTGTTCCAATGAAGGTATGTTGCTTCCTTTCCCCAAATACCAGTGACCAAGCGGCAAGTGCTTAAATGCTTGCCTGTGGAGGTGACCCAAATAAGAATGTAGGGTAGTCTATGATATGACAAATATGTTCCGATGAAATATATAACTAGTCGATCCAGGAAGCAGAAAACTTGACCTCGCTAAGTGCGCCACTTGACCTCGTTATGTAAGCTGACCTCGCAAATGTGGCCCGTGCCACTACCTGACCTCACTCAATACATCTTTTCTTGTAATTTGAAACCACTCAATTATTTATCATCAATTCTACAATCAATTTAAAATCAATTTAAAATCAATTTAAAATCAATTTAAAATCAATTTAATACTGAAATTATTCTTGAATTTAATAGTAAAGTAAGTATTTATATAATTTACACTGAATTGATTATTAATTGATTTTCAATCAATTATTAATTATTTAAATATATAGATTGAATTTATTTTTATTACTATAATTAATTAACAATTAATTCAGAATCAATTTAAAATCAATTTAATACTGAAATTATTCTTGAATTTAATAGTAAAGTAAGTATTTATATAATTTACACTAAATTGATTATTAATTGATTTTCAATCAATTATTAATTATTTAAATATATAGATTGAATTTATTTTTATTACTATAATTAATTAACAATTAATTCAGAATCAATTTAATACCGAAATTATTCTTGAATTTAATAATAATACTGAATTGATTATCAACTGATTTTCAATCAATTATTAATTACTTAAATATATAGATTTGTGGCGGGCTGCGCCCGATCAATCATATAGACTATTCTGTTACACTTCATAGATTCTTCCGTTCCACTATTGTACACATACACCCCGATTCTCAGCCATTCTCAATTGCCGATTCTCAGCTGCCATGAACGCGTATAGATTCTTCCACCCCGGAGCTTCATCATGTACACTACTATATATGTGTATAGATATTCACTCTGATCACTGATTTCTACACTTTCTCTTTCTTTTTCTTCTTTAACATTTTTCTCTTTGTTATATAAGATCTATTAATATTATACTGATCTATTCAGCATAGGCCTCTTATACTAG